CTTGAGCCACAGGCGCCAAGCCTATGAACAAGTTTTTTATGTGTTCATAAAATGAATATTTCTGAACCTCCCTCTGCTCAGGTCAAAGGATAGGTGAGAAAAAGTAGATAAGGCCATGTCCCCCCATCCTCACATCAGGTACACTGCCTAGTGTTAAGCCTTAGCAAACAGGTACTGTTTAAAAAAAAGAAATCTTACCTTCATTACAAGCAAGGTGGGCAAAAAAAGCAATGATCTGTACTGTTTTACCGAGCCCTGCTTCATCAGCCAGTATGCCATTAAGATTCTTTCGGTGCAATTTGGCCAGCCAATCCAGGCCAATCTTCTGATAGTCTCTGAGGACCCCATACAACAGAGATGGAGCATTAAACTTCACCTGCAGCAACAGACCAGCCAAAGAATGACTGCTTGTCAACATAACTGCCAAAACTTTCTTTTTCTTGAGACAGAATTTTACTTTGTTGCCCTGGTAGAGTGCCATGGCATCATAGTTCACAGCAACCTCAAACTCTGGGGCTTGAGTGACCCTCTTGCCTCAGCCTCCCAAGTAGCTGGGACTACAGGCACCTGCCACAATGCCCAGCTATCTTTAGAGATAGAGTTTCGCTCTTGCTCAGGCTGGTCTCCAACTCCTGAGCTCAGGCAATCCACCCACCTCGGCCTCCCAGAGTGCTAGGATTATAGGCATCAGCCACTGTGCCAGTCCAAAACTTTCTGAAAACCAAAATCAGCATAGTCACGTGATAAACTGAGTGAAAAGCCACAAAAATTATATATAGAAAACAGGAAGAGAAAGATCAAGAATTGCTTTTTCTGACAACTTCTATAGGTGGGATAAAGTGCTTTTTTGGAAGTAGGAAAAGCTTTTCTAGTGATTCATTCAGATAAATGCACTTACAAAGAACCATCCCTCACGTGAAACCTGCATCTCACCGAGGTTGAGACTCGAGCACTGCCCTTGGGCAGGATGGCTTCAGCCACAGCGGTGACCTCTGCGACATCCTTGGTGTTTGGTTTCCCGATATTCATTCTCTCAGCGGCTTTAAACTGATCCATGATGAAAAGTGAGTCAATGAGAACCAAATCCCTCCGACTCTCCCTGTCACCTAGAGTATCTTCTCCATCTATAACAATGAAACAAAGAGAATAGGGGCTGCTGGGATAGTTTTACAAACTTAAACACTAAAAAAAAAAAAAAAAAAAGGAAAATAAGTTATAGAATCCAAATATTTCAAATATAGAATTAAGCAGTACTTTTGTTTGTAGTCCATTTTATCTCTAAACAGTACTAGCTGGATAAATGGGCATGAACTGTCATGACACTATCAATTTAGGACCATTCTGGAAAGGCCTCAGAGTATAATTTGCCCCAAATAGCCTGGTATCTGGAAAATGTCTCCAAGGCCATTAGGAGTTAGTATCATGAATGGATTTACAGGTATCTCAGGGTTGAGTAACCTCCCCTCCAACACCACGAAAGAAAAAAATCAGAAATGTTCCCTAAATGTGGGAAACAAGGGAGACGCCATCTCTCTTGCCTCTGGTCCTGGTGCCGATACAGTCCTGAAAGGCCCTGGGAAGACACCCAGGGATGAACCATTACAGAAATGAGACAGAGAAAGGAGACTCTTTGTGGTGTGTTCTGTGTTCTGTGTATCTGTGTGGCATGTCCAAAAATAAGCAAAATAAATTACTCAAAACAGGTATGTTAAACAAACTCAGCACAACCTAAATAAATATGATAAAATCTAGGTCTATAAAACTGTAACTTTTTTTTTTTTTTTTTTTTT